GGAAGGGACTGCCCTTCGCAAATACGTGATAATGAGAAGAAAAAAAAATAACATACGCCTGTCTGCGCCGACGGTGTGCAAGCATAATTAATTGATGAAAGCACCGAGCTATTTTCGCATACCATAATAAATATTACTTTTACAATAAATATTAATCTCGTAATAATTTATATACTTGTTATCTAATATCATTTTAGTGCTATAATTAATTACTATTATATCGTATTTTATCAGCCTGCACATTAGTTCTGTGTGTAATCTGTCTATATTACATGTAAAATCATATTAGCGTTAATTGGCAATTAATACGTTTTAGAGCGTTTCGGGATACAATATGTAAATATTAGGAAGTCAATATCTCAATATAATATTAGGAAGTCTCTGTTGGCGAATAATAAGATTAATCGAAGTTAGTCAGCGGAAAATTGTCCCACAATAAGATTTGCCGCTTAATTTATGGAAGTAAATAAATAAGTAATTATATCGTATATTATCAACCAGAAGAAGCATCTATAAAAATATTGAAGTTAACAAGAAAGTTTCATTAAATATGATTTTTTTTCTTTATTTTTACGAATTGCATTTTTATATCTAGACACTTTACAGATAAAAATAATAAAGCTCCACGTTGTAATTTTTCTCATTAAAAGTTTTGCTTTCTCACATTTTCTAAAATAACTCTTTTATCACCGAGAAAATGTTCATTACAAAAAAATCGTGCAACATCAACGTTCGTATGAAGTACGAACTATTGATAACGAAAAACCTCTCGCACACCATCGCGCAGGGAACTTACGTTGATGGGAGTTACGAAAGAGATGCGGGTGTACCGCGAGATTAATTCCCGTTCATAGCGAACAAAAAAATATCACGATCGAGTTTTAGCGGAGATAAAGAGCGATCGGTCGCCGCAAAAATTCTCTCGCAATTCGCGCCAGACTTTTTGGGGGATTCTCCTCTCATCGAGAAGAAATACGCGTAGCCTCCAATATTTTACGAAACCGCTTCCTCCCATTCCCTCGTGTTATCGGTTTGCGATTCGCCTCCTGGTCTCGATCGAGGGCACGAACGACTGTTTACGCGATCGTTATCACGAGGTGACGATGATGACGCATTGCGCATTGTGAGTGTGTGTACGTACGCTTCTCTTGGTCGATGATGATTCGAAGGACGTCTTCGGTGCTCGGAAGAATGCGACACAGTGCTTATTAGTGCAGCCACAGGTAGATAAGTAGCAGCGAGAGAAACTGAAACGGAACGACGCAAGGACCTCGACGGATCTTCTCCGTCCACAAAAACGAAGGAAATTCAATTCGGACACCCTCTTCCGCCTCGTCATTATAATATTCTTCTTGCGAAAGTCGCGGATAAAATGAACGAAATTACAGCGAGTTCGAAATTTGCCGAATATTATGCAATCGTAAAAGTTTCCTATAGAATCGTGTAATTTAATTTACACTATTCTAAATATTGTGTCATTGCAAAAATATGAAAAATTTAGATCGCATTAATACTTTTACTTCAAATACTAAACTTCAAAGGTACTAAATTTAGAAATCGATAATAATCGAGCGGTTAATATTAATGAGATACGTGATTGTAGAAAAAGATCAATATGTTGTTGCATTTTGAATTAAAAATTAACTCTTTCTCATTCAGAAAAGCCAATCGCTGATAAATATCCGCTGGTGTCGATAATAATGATAAATACGGTGCTGAAATAAGATGAAACGCTGTCGGAAACGATAATCCAATTATTGAACGAATCAGATCACGGAAGCCAGTTGCGTACGTTCCTTCGACAAGTATAGTAAGTTAAAAGTAGAAGAAGAGCAAACATCTCCGTATGTAAATATGTATAAAAACAGATATACGCGTACATTCGTGTATATAGAGATGTACACACGCGCACACACATATGTATCGAGAATATAGTATAACAGACATCGAAGGTATGCGGACATATAGACAGCGAAGATAATTAATTATGCGTGGAAAGAGAACGTGGAGAGCTGCAGAATGCAGACAGATCGTATATTCTTTCACGGCCGTGGCACACGCGCGAACGCACGCACGCAATATTGTAAAATACACGCGAGTAAACACGCGCGAGTGGAACGTTAGGTTCAATATCAATTCCGCGGAGCGGAGTCGGAAAGGTACTCGTACATCGTCATTTCCGCAACAGCGATGCGAAAGTTGAGAATGCGAAATCTAACTCACTTGTCGCGCAACATTCCCCTCAACTCGGAAAATTTCGACGAAAAAGTTCTGCGCTTTCTTTCGCAGATCATTAAACAATCCTTCCTTGAATTCTTCTATGTGTAATTAGAAGAAAAAAAATAAGTAAATATTTTAATTGAAAAATTATCCATTATTCTCTTATTATATATTATAGAGCGATAAAATGAAGTCAAAGCAATCTAGTATTAAACGGAGTATTAAACGATATTTCCTTGAATTCTTTTATGAATAATTAAGAAAAAAAAAAAATTAAATCGATATTTTAATTGAAAATTATTCAGCAATCTTTAATATGTATGCAGCAACTATAAAACAGAAGCAATTTAGTTGGAGTATTCCTCTCTTTAGGTAAATAACTAGAAATTCTTTTGAGATTGCTTTTTCTAGCACATCCGGCACGATGTAGCAGTTTAAAGTTACCGGATATTCATTCAAGAAAGTTCTTTGATAAATTAAGCTTCTTTGATAATTTAATAGATTTTGTCTTTTGCGAAAATTTTGATTGTAAGCTTTCTATTTTGAAACAGTAAAACACTTCGAGAATATATCGCAAGTTCTTTTTATTAAAATAAAATCTATTTAACAAAAAAATGTCATTTTTATTTCCCCTCTCCTGTCCTCGTATCCGTTTCTTTAAACAAAGAACGAGACTCTTTTGAAAAAAAAAAAATCCGTGAACTGAAGGGAAATGCGACAGTTTTTGGAGTACCTTGGACAATAATAAAAAATACATCGGAAACGAACAAAAACATACATAGGATGGTTCATCAGTTCCCATATTTTCATACTTACAATCTTTCAAAAATCCTCCAGATTTAATAACAACATTAGAATAGTACGTTTATCTTCAATCATTAAAATAAACTACATTTTCTACGTGGTGCTTCCTTTTGCATCTTTATCTCTCAATTACTAAACTAAATAACTACTTCTATGTGGTATCCCTTTGTATCTTTGTTCTATAACTAAATCGTCATAAATGAAAGACACAATATATCTACCGTATATATACTTTCCGAGCATAGCGAAACCCCGTGCAATTACTCACAATGCATCTTTCAGAATCCCAGTCAGAACCATCCCTTGTAATTGCGAAAGTTAACTCGACAAAAGGAACTCGAGAAAAGTCCATCTTTTTGCGCACGTTCGTGGGGCGCCTCGCCGTTTCTCGGAGCGCGTCGATGCGTCGTCTTACAAATTTCTCCTCGCGCGAGCAAACGCTCGTCCGCGCGATCGTTCCGTTCTCCCCCGATCGATTTTCCTTCTTTTATTATTATTATCTTTTTTATTATTTTTCTTTTTTTTTTAGCTTTCTTCTCGCGAAAGCGATCTTTCTAAGATCGCAGCCACTGGGTCCGTTGTCCCCCTTCCCATCCCCTGTGAGGAGCGAACCCACTCGTTCGTCGCGAAACGAATCCTCTTTACCCTCTCTGCTTTATACGCTCAGAAACCGCAACACGCCGCCGGAATCGTCGCCTCCGTGTGTGTGACGCCAGAGCTGGATAAAATACTACTTCGAGAACATCGCACGTTTTCTTTTTTGCCCACGTCCTCGACGTCGCCTGCAACACGTCCTCCTCCCCGTACATCCCTCTGTACAGCCCCCACGAAGCTTTCCTCTCCTCCACCCGCGACTTGGAGATCGCCGCAGGAGGTTGCCTCGCCGAACGTGAATCTTGTGCAAAGCGGAATCGGCGCGCCCGCTAAGAACAACGCTTAACCAGTCAAGTGACGTTCGTCAGTACGTCAATTATCTATTATTAACGAAGCCGCGATAAGAATAAGAAGGACGAGACATTGTAACGTGACGTTGGTCCTTCGATGGTCTCGCGGTCGGATGAATTAGATTATACTATAGAAACCTCCACTGTAAAAAATATCGGTGTGGATTTAATATACCTAGCATGTATTAATATTAACGTTACTATTAATTAACTATTAATATTAACACCAACATGTTGTGGATCTTAAATTCCTTTTGAAAACCCACAGTAGTAATATTGACACCAAAGAAGAGACTAGACTGCTTTGACCTCGCACCAGTGAGAAAACTATATAGATACTGCGAAATGTTAAAATTCACACCGCTATCTTTTGAAGTGTCAGGGAGTATGAAAATTTAATTTCGAAAGATTCACATGCCTAGTAGTCGGTCTTCTTGATTGAAATTTAATCGGTCGAGGCTATATTCAACCGTTTCGTACTTGATATTACTTCACGTCTACTTCACGGCTTCTGTTAGCCTAGACCTCGACAATGCGAATTATGTGAATCGAATCGATCGGGATCGACGGTACTCGCCACTTGACCGGTTAATCGAAATAGTACTTTGCCCACCTCTCTCTGGCGCGACTCCTTTTTCCCTCCTTTGCTGCCATTTTCATTTTCTTTTTCTCTCTTTTTATTTCAAAGCAGTTTCGAGGTGGAACTCCAAGCGAGCAGTGGCGCCCGTCTTGCTGCAGTAGCGCGTATAACGATTCGTAGTCGATGAAAATCATTCCTAGTTTACGAGACAGAGACAGGAGGAGGTTCGAGGGTTGTTCGAGGGTTTTCCGAGGAGATTACGGGGAGTGGGGGGGGGAGAGGAGGGGACTAAACGAAAGGGTTGTGCGGGAGGGCCGCTACACGGGTTTTGATTCACGGAAGATTATGGGGATGGTGCACCGACGCGGGATTCTCGAAGACGGTCGAGAGAGGATCGAGGGGTCGATGCGCAAGTAGAAGGAAGGAACAAATGCCGAAAGGGATAGACTCACCTCCTCGCATAGCGACAGCATACGCCTCGTGCTCTCCAGAGACTGAAACAAAGTCGATCACGCCGGTTACCACACAAGCGTTACTTGACCGAGGAATCGCGAATGTGTTTTAAAATTAAAAATTTTTTTTTTTTTCAGAAGAGAGCTACAACTTTGATACTCTATCTTGTCCCCGACACATTTTCTCGCGCTATGCTAGATTATTTTTATGAAGAAAAGACACTCCCTAAATCTCAGTGGATAATCGCTGATATCAGTGCCAAGTATGCCGCTGGTAATCAGTGAATGAAATGTGAGATCCCTAACCTGGCTATAATCTTTATTATGTGATCTAACTAACCTTGTTTTAGTGCATAAATTCAACGAATATGGTATTGGAAGATTGAAATTAACGTGCAAATATCAGTATTTTAGTAATATAATGCTCAAACCTTCTTCCTTTTTTAGTTGAATTCCACTGATTAGTGCCAACTATGTCATTGGGTAATTAGTGACTATCCGCTGATTCAGATTTAGAGAGCAGAAGTACGATTTCTTTTGAATTCCAGCACACCGGTAATGTCGTGCTACGAAAATGTACGCTGAGAGAAAAGCGTTTGATATTTGTGATTCTAATTGAATGGTAATATAATTATGGCTAGGAGTTTTACTTTTGTCACTGTTAAAATGTTAAGAATAATAATAATCATATTTGCGATTCTATCAAAAAATATACAATTGGCACTGAAAAGGTTATAAATTATAATTCAATTATGATAATGGCAATCATTTTTTTCTTTCAACGTAGTTTATTCGAGAAAATCGACTTCATTGTGTTATTACTAAATTAGTTATTTGAATTAGTTCTTAAAAATTATCAAGGTTGAAGGGTTCTTCGAATTGAGAATAACATCGATTACTTTTAGAGAAATGTGAATAAAACATGCAATAATGGCTTCGCGAATAAATTACTATTTTTAGCTATCCCGAATTAATTATACATGGATAAATAAGTCGATTCACGACGCTTAATAACGCACGTGCTGAAAATTCTGAAAGATCTACGAGATAATCTCCGTTCGATAAGTTTCCGAGAGAGCAGATACGACGCGGGAGAGGATTTTAGTCGCTGAGGCTGATTCGTCGCTTTTCTATTGTCGCGAGAGATAAACGCGAGAGTTTATCCTCGCGCGATTCAAGTCGGAGCTCGAAGTTTCGAGAGCAGCGAAACTACGTTGCTTTCAATCCCCGCGTCGTAAATCCTCGTGGCTGTGACATCGCGTAAATGTATATGCACGCGCATAAAATATATACACGTACATGTGTACGTATACATGTACGATATCCAATATATCTCAACTCACTTCATCCGTAGTCTGACCGGCCTTGAGCTGTAACTCCTGCAGTTCGGTGCGGGGCGGGCCGCCCTCGGCCGCACCCGCCGCTGACGTCGGTGCAGGCATCGCCGGCTGGTGATCTGGCTGGCCTGGCTGGGATAACAGGAACTAGATGCCAGGCGACGGTCTTCCTCTTCTTCTCGGCGAATCTGCCTTCTCGCCTACCGGCGCCTCAGGATACCGGCGCGACGGTGCGACACCGCTCCTTTCTGGTTGTTCGCCAAGACCACCGGCGAACGGCGTACCGCTTGCACCGCAGCCTGCAACACGCAATCAAACGAGCACGAGATCAGACCTCGCGTCTGTTTCGCGGAGGAGAGGACGACGCGGTTTGCACTCGAGGAAGGGTTTGGATTCCCTACGTGAATACGCGGTGCGCGGTGCGCGGTGACCGGACGTGACGTTTTTCGCCAAGACCTTCGGCAAAACGGAAGCTGCCGTCCTCGCCGTGGAGTCACGTCTACCCAGAGACCATCCTCTCCCTCTCGCAGACGATGAGGAGCAGGGTGGGGGTCGGGAGGACAACGTCACGTCGGAGCGCACTGTCTATTGGAACTTCTCTCCTTCGGCGATCGCGCGACGGGGTAACCGGGGTAACGAATGAACGAACTCTAATGAAATCGGCGAACTCGAGACGATGTCACCTTTCTCGAACGAGATCGCGAATGGAAGCCCTCGCGAGGTGACGACGAGATAGCCGCCTGGAGGGTACCATTCGACGGCGACGCCGGGGAGAGACTTTGCGGAATTCCGCGGGCGGATTGGCAGCCGCGCCGCGGTGTACCGGTCGTTGCGGCAAATGTATGTGTGAATTTACGTGTGTACGCTGTACATGCGTATGTGTGCGGTCAGCGCGTGTGCGCGCGACTGCACACTCACACATGACGACGTGGAAAATCAATAGCCCCGACCGACCGACCGACCGACCCACCGACGATGGCGTCGGGACGCGCAGACGCGACGCGGCTCCGTCGTCGTCGTCGACGTTCGTTCGTTCGTTCGTTCGTTCGTTCTCGTCTACCCTCTTCGGCTGACTCCCTCAATGCCGACGTGGCCGGCGCGACCAGGACAAATGATCAGCTGGTCGGACTTGAGTGCGGGCAGGTCAAGAAACAGAGACGTGTTTCCCGCCGCGAATTAGAGAGTGAGATAAAAGAGCATTTTTAATGAGACCTTTCAGGTGGAAGATTCGAGAAGGATGGAGGAATGAAGTTTTCCGATGCTCTTTTAGAAACGAAGAGAGAAACGCTTAATATTAAAATATCAAATATTTGAACTCTTTCGAGATATTTTTTCCCGTTCCGATTTCCTTCTTTCTCTTCAGTTTTTTTTTTTTTTTTTCCGATCTTAACATTCATTGAGGTGGACGTTATTTTTCTAAAAGCCATTACCTAAGCTTAATTTTCAAGCCGTAAGAAATTGACGAATCATAATCGATTATTTTTCTCACATTCGACTGTGATTGGTCAATTTTTTACGGCTTAAAACTTAAGCTTAATGGCTCATTGTAAAAAATATATTAATTAATTTTAATTCCCAATGGCGGAGGAGCTTCTTAACAAGAATTTGCAAAAACTAACAATAAAAAATTACTTTAACCTTTAGAGGCGGGGATCTATTTTCACAACCTTACAGAACTTTCTCTCGAGCAAGATTTATTATAATTCATTATTTTATTACCCTTCCCTCAAAATGTAACACTGTTACGGAGCCACTTTAGAGTGACTTTCTTATCTTGTAAGGGTTAAATTGAATATTTTTTAATTAAATACTCAAAAAAAGAGATAGCCTGTTCTTTAAAAAATTATCTAAAAAAAAATCGATCCAAGATATTGAAAATGTATATTAAATTGTATATTAAAGAGATCTCAAAGATCTCTCTTATTACAGGGTCTACAATAGAAGTCGTAGTGATCGTAGGATCTTAAATCGTAGAAAATTGACTAATCATCAGAGTCAATTATTCTTCTCATATTCGACTGTGATTGTTTAATTTTCTACGACTTAAGACTCTACGACTGCTACGACTTTTTTATTGTAGATCCCGCATTACGTATTCGAGATTTAAAAAATAATCCTACGATATATTGCAAACGGGGAAACAGTTGATGTTCAAGTATTAAAGTGCTTTTACATAACTCGCAAATCGCAAACGCAGAGGCAGAATAAAGATTTGCTTTTGTTTTTTCATCGCATACAGTTAGTTTTCATCTGTGTGTGTTTTGCGGGCGACGATCATCATTCTGTTTGCTCAGCACGAACTACGTTTTGCGATTTGCGAATTATATAGAGACACCCTTAGAGTCTACAATTAAATCAAATACGAACGTCGGACACGCACGATTCAACTAATCAATAACTATACCAGTGAGAGGTGTAAGTTCGTAACGACCACCCTCGTAAACCGCAGAGAATTCCCAAGAGGCCTGGATCTGTGATGCAGAAAATCGCAAGATTCGTATCGTCCGATGTGGACATGGACAAGCTGTATCTTGGAAAAACATTTCCGAAATACGATCAGAATCGAGTCACTAATTTGCGGTTTCGGATCTGTCTGGAATAACCGTATCGAGGGGTGTAAATCAATCTAGAATTTGTGTGGGCGAGACGCATTATTTACAAAATAGATATATCGTTAAAGGGACGGGGCGGAAAATGAAAATAATGACAATGCAATGACTAACACGGCCTGTTATTACGGAGTACACCAGTGGCAATGTAACGGGTGGCGGCGTAATCTATTGGCCGGCTTTGTCCTTGCCCTCGAGGAAGTTGGCGAGCTTCCAGCTACAAAGGTACCTCGTCATTGGACCGATCTCGGCGTCGCTCGTTACGATCACAAACGACACGATTGGGAAACCAAAATAGAATCAGCTCGCCGATAACCGTCAATTGAACAAATGCAAATAATTGCAACATGTGAAATTGACTTTTTTTGTTGAAAAATTTTACGCGCAAATAAATCATGTAAATGTGTACGGACAATAATTTTACTTCTCCGCCAAGTTGCGGACTTTAAGGGGATCCTAGCTGTCTGTATTACTGACTGAATCATGTAATTTTTGTATAATAAATATTTTTTTTTTTCTCTTTCACAGATTCGAAAAGCCTTTTCCAGGATTAAAGTATACGAATTAATATGTGTTTGTGTGAGAGATAAAGTTTATGCTGAGAATGGCCAAAAATTTCGAAATTGATATATTTTTTTATCATTTCTTATGGCGAATTCGATTGCGGAACACTAATGCGCACTGCATATTAAAGCCGTTGCACACTGACTTAATTTGAGTATAAAAATAAAATGCAAATATTTCGAATTATGAAATACATATTTTACCTAACAGTACAATAAAATGTATTGAGTATTTTTATTACGATTTTACGATTAATTTTAATAATTTTACGATTTCTATGTTTATTTATAAACATTATTTTTTGCTATTAATGTAACATGGCGTCTCAAGCTGTCGAGTCATGACATATATTTACTTGATACGAAAGTTTTGCGATCTGCACTTACGAAATAGTAATCCACAAACACGTAGTTTGCACGAACAAATAACGTCGAGTTCTTAGAATTAGACTTAGACGCTTTATCGCGATAAATTTGTTGTACGAAAATTGACACGAACGTGCGACTTTGTGTATTATAGATTGAGATATCGATGTGGTAGTACATAAAGAAAATATGTCGGTGCGCTAGAAAACCGCGATCTCCGGTGACTTCGTCGGAGTTCGAGCTTCATTTTAGGATCCCTTTAAAGTTAAGGTCGCCAACGTAAAAATTTTCAAAAATAGAACTTGTCGCCAAAAACCATTTCGGAACGAACTAATTTAAATCGACGAAAAAAGAATGTTCTCTTCCGTAAAAATATTTAAAAAAATTTCCCTCATCTTTAGAGAGAATGTTTATATACATATTTAGATATTTCACTCTCAAGATTATTTTCGGTTCGCGTCTTTACTTGAATGATTTACAGCCAGCAGTACTCAACGCTGGAGAAAAATAAAAGGACAACGAGACCTCGATTTTATCTCACCGTTTCTTCTATTTCTAGGTATACGAATTATGGTAACTAGGTTCACGAATTATGGCAACAGCAGAACGAATACAGATGCAACGAACGAGGTCAGCAGACTCCGGGTTTTTCCATAACTTACAAGAAAGAAAGGGGAATCATTCACGCAAGCCTGCGGTACCGAAGAGGCGATTCCCCAAAGGATTACGCGACGGTAATTGGTGCACGGTCGCGGCGTCACGATAGGACGACGTCATTCTTGTAACCACCCACGACCTGGGTGATAGGAACACGCAAGTGGGTGATGGAGGATACTCTAAATGACACGTGTGCGGTCGATCGTGCCGCAACGTGCAACGACGATGCAGCTATCTGGATGCACTTGCACCAGTTTGTCGCAACGCGTTGCAGGCTGTTACTACTCGGAGCAGGAAAGAGAAGAGGAAACTCACGCACAGATAAAACTCGCGATAAAACGACGAAAAATAAAAGTCGAATGGTTTATCCGACTCGTTTGACTCGTTTGACTCCAAAGAGAGAAATGAAGAATAGATGGATTTTAACAGGTTTTTATCCGGTATTCGCACGGTGGAAACGAATCGCTTTCGACGGTTACAGCAGACATACCGCGAGATGGATTTTATTACGACAGTTATACTCGTCGTTACACATAAATGTTACAAAAAGTGCTATCTTTTTTTGTTAGATAACATTTTTTTTTTTTTTTAAATAAAAATTGACGTTGAAAGTAACGAGAGCGTAATAACGTCGTATAACATTTTGTAGTGATACAGATGCGATTTAGACCGCAATAAAAGAGAAGCATAAATCTTATTCGTAAAAAAAGTCAACACATGGCTACGGTAATCGCGACACGCATTCGTCATGCAAATGGAACGATGACGAGCGAGAAAGAACGGAACTTTATTTTCCGCTGCTGAGAAAGTTATTTCCTACGGAGCGAAGTGAAATTGCGCAAGGACGCAATCCTTTTTTCGTTTTCTTTTTGGAAATCCGTTCCGGTGACGTGTGATTGCCGCACTACTTTTTAATTTGTCTGGTCTGGCAGTTGAACAGGCAACGAAAGTTCGTGCTCTGAAATGCGTGTCCTGAAGCTTCAATCAGCATCGATCTAGTTGCGCAATATTACTAAAGGTGACATTGATATCTAATCGCAATCTTCATTTTGTCATGCACTGCTAATGCAATCGGAGCATAAAAAATCAGTAATTGTTCCTCGCCGTTTATGTTACAGAAAGAACGTTTTTGCTTAAAGTATTTAAAAATTTAGCTACTGGAAAAAATCCTAAATTTGAAAAATTATTTGTTTGAATAATTCTAAATAAATATATGATTACCAAATGCAAACATACATTCATCTAATACAAAGAATCATTAATTTGATTTAACTATCATTTTTTAATTTTAAATAAATATTTATTTACAGGAAGTAAGTGTTTAGTTAGTATTACTCAAAGAAATATGTATTAAGATTAAGTAATTTTTTTCAATGTGACTAAAAGTAATTATGTTGGATTATCAATAAAATAATTATGTAGAATATTCAAGCTGATTGTTAAAACTGTTTAATTATACTTAGGTGTCCTACACAATTATTTTGGTAATATATAGTCCAACAAAATTATTTTCAAATCTAAATCTAGCGAAATTTTAGACATTTCAGTAAAATCGGTCTTTTCATTTTCATCACTCCACATTTTTCATCAAATATTGGAATCAATTT